TCTACTGTTGTAGCAGTTAAGATAGGGCATAATCCTCCGTAGGTAGCACTAGGGTATAATCTTTCAAAACACCGCATTAATCACATGTAGTGTTTTTAACGACAATCCTATTACCCAGAGAAGCTAGTAGGACGACTCTTCAAATATGGGGTAATCGATAGTAACTAGAATATAGTATAATGCATCATTCGTTAGCAACAGCCTTTTAACTCTCAATTTACTTTGGGGGAAAAAGGACTTCGATTTATACAGTGCCTTTCTCGACATCGGAACACCCTGATGAATTTCTTTGGAACGATAAGGTAGTCTCTGTGATAGTGTAGGGTTTCTGACAGCCAATTGCACGCAGGCAACTCCCTTCAACAGCAATGTGATAAATGTTGATGAGGTGAGAAGGACTGAACTGGCTCCCTGTTGTTTTAGCACGCTACTCTATCATACTTAAAAAATAGTTTGGTAGTTCAGCATTAAGGAGCTAATTCCAAGGTTTTCTTGAGTGAGTGAAAGAAAAAGGAATTTTGCTACTTGCTAAATCTGACGAAAAATCAATAAAACACATCGTACACGTTCAGATTTTACATTTTAACAGGGGGCAAGTGCTAAGTACAGACAAGAAAATAATGTACCGTTTGAAGGTCCAATGAGAAATTTTAATCTGGGACCACGGTTGTTTAATTGATGCCTTGTATGCTCAGCAGCAGCAAAATTTGTAGATATCTTTGACTTCTTGGTGAATTGGCTGCTTCTGCAATTTGCAGTTCACAGACAATGTCTTCCAAAAGGCTGGGAGAAACCATGGGAAGCGGGGGGGGGGGGGGAGAGAGTGAGAGTGCTTCCAGTTCTACTTTTAGAAATCCATTATTCCTCTCTACTTTGCCCAAAAGCTGTTGCTTGAAATATGCTGCATTTGTTTATTTCTGCAGCTGGCTTTAGTTTTCTCTCATGATAGACGCTGTAAGGGTGAGTCTTTTGTTCCAGTATATAGAACTTCCAGAAAGGCACTGATGAAAGGTCATCAACCTGAAACATTAACTCTTTTTTTTCATTCTAGATGCTGCCTGACCTGCTGAATGTTTATAGCATTTTCTGTTTGTATCAACTTCACAACCTGTTTCCTGTCACTCAACCAACTTTAAAATCATGCTGCCACTGTCCTTTTCATTCTCATGCTTCAGCTTTGCTGGTGCACACTTTTTGAAAGTCCATATGGACCACGTGAATCGTATTACCCTTATAAAAACCTGTTACTAATTTTTTTAAAAAGTGGTAAAAACTCTTTGTCTTTGGAAAACACTTGATTTCCATTATTCATGCTTGTTCAAATAACTTAATTTTGTCCTGGATTATTGTTTCTGAAAGTTTTTCCACTGCAGGGTTAATACTCCATCCTGTAATTGTTGGATTTGTCTTTGATCATCAGATTTGTTTGCTAGGTAGAATTGTCATGATCTCAGATATTTCAAATTCAGTGACTTCCTTTACATGTAGTTTCGTATGTTAGATTTATTGTACCTTCAGTGATAGCACTGTGGCTTTGGCAGTTACCATTCATTTGGAAATTATGGCGGTGATCATTAAGTCTGCTAATATTATTCAGCAAGTCTATTTATTGCATTTAATGCTTTGAACTCTTTGAGTCCTTAAGGTCCTTGTGCTTCCCTTTCAAACCAAATTTACATCATTACTACATGCGACTCCAGACCCACTGGAGTTCCTTCCCCTGGTTTCTCCCAGCCTTTTGGAAGACATTGTCTGTGAACTGCAAATTGCAGAAGCAGCCATTCACCAAGAAGTCAAAGATATCTACAAATTTTGCTGCTGCCGAGCATACAAGGCATCAATTAAACAACCATGGTCCCAGATTAAAATTTCTCATTGGACCTTCAAATGGTACATTATTTTCAGGTCAATTAGGGATGGGCAGTAAATGCTAGCATAGCCAGTAATGCCCACACTGAATACAAAATAAAATTTACAATTAAAAATGATCCATTGTTTTGGAATTCATGTACCATTTGCACCATTTATTATGCTGAAGCATAGAACCTGAAGTTTTAATTCATAAAAATAATTGTTACTGATGGCTGAGTTCCACAGAAATTAAGGACTCATCTTTGTAATGTGATTTCATATTTGTTTTTCACATTATCTTTTTCTTTTTAGACATGACCACAAAGATGCAGATTTTGTCTTACTGTGCCAAAGCCTTAAAGTGGGAGAAAATGTGAATGAGAGGGCTTGGAAGATTTGGGAGTCAGTATCGGTGCTTTTAAATGATAGTATTGTATTGGTAAGTATCTTAATTTGTTGGAAATTTTGGACTCTAGCTTTATTGATTGATGAAAATCAATATCTGGTTTCTACATGGTTGTAGTTAAAATTATATGTACGGGATTACTTTGGACATGGTGGAAACTAATCATCTACTGAAGAGCAAGTTCCATTTCTTATTAACTGTAGGCTAATTTTTGAATTGAAGGTCTTCTTCCATTTTGCCTGCAGTTTTCATTCCATCCCTTAGCCTTCTGTCCTCTAGTTCTTATTTCCTGTGCATCTTTGTTAAAATTATTCTAATCCATTTTAATGACAGATTCCAAAAGCTAGAGACAAGAACATACCTGGCAATTGATCACATTTATTATTCAAAAGCATTATCTTAAGGCTACATACAAAGCAGTACATGCACTTATTTTTCTAGAAACCTGTTTGCAATGAACTTCTTAGGAATAGTTAGTGATGTTGATCCAGACTTGTTCTCAATACTTCAAGGTTATAGCTTACTGAAGAGCGTACTTAAGTTCGCTTTATATATAATTTGCTCTTTTATTTTTTGGAGGGGGGGGAAAGAAGCTAACATTGTCTAATTCTGGTTCAGATTATCTTTATTATTTTGTTATTCTTGGACCTTAGAATACACAATAATAAAGACTTTGTATCCAGAACAATAACTCTTTTTCCGAGGCATCATTGTGATGAAATGATATGATTTGCCAGCACACAGATCAACCAATTTTGATTTAGTCAAGTGGCTTAACTTGAATAAGCTACATAAGCAGCTCTGTCTTCATTCTATATTTAAACAGAGGGAAAAAAATTCAGATTCTTTTAAACCCCATTCCCCCTATTTTATGATAATGGCATTTGATTTGGCCTGCTATCCAACAATTGCTCCACTGATTTCCCACTTTACTGTTCAAAATGGTTAATTGTCTATAAAGTGTTTTTGACTTTGTGAAATGAAAGGCACCACACGCATGCAGTTTGTTTAAACTCTTCTGTCTCACTACTTCTTCAAGCATTTTACATTCTTCCTGGAAGTTGTGTATATAAAGTCCATCTTTTGGTCACTTATCCTCATGCTGTCATCACTCCTCAGCATCCATTTTCTTGTTTGAAAATGTGCTAGGGAATTGTATAATGTAAAGGCATATAAACACGTGTTGATATGTTAACTCATTAACTTAGGTTTAAAGCACATTAACCTGTTAATGGCTACTAACTCTCTGGCAAGTCTAGTGAATATTTTATGACTTTCAGGAATAATTAGCATTTGGCATTGAGACCAATGTGCATACTTTGCATGGATCCCAGTTGCAAGCATTGCCATGAAAACATATTTCCAGGACTTTTTTTTTGAAGCTTGGTAATTATTGTTATCATTCATTATCAAAAGAAATTTTTCTTTTTTGTTGATTTACATTATTCAGTGATTGTCAGTGTGTTATGAAAATAGCTATACTACCAATCAGTTATACTCCGGACATGGTGAAGTGTATTGGATGCATGCTCAAGGTTACCTTATTGCACCTGCCATGACATTGCTTGCAGTAAGTCTGTGCTTATTTATAAGAGTAGTTCCATGTATGATGTCCAATGTATTGACATGACAAGATGAAAGTGTCTCCCTTTGTAAGACTTGACTGGAGCACTGTTTGTTTCTACTGTCATCTCAGCTTTGCAGCCTCTCGTCCACTTCACTTTGCTAATTGCTGTTTTGTGGTCCTGTATATTTGTTTAGTGTACGTTACCTGGGCACAATAGTGGGGAAGATAGGCCGAGACAGAACAATACCGGAATAATGTAGAGAAGTAATGTCTTTCCTACTTACATAATTAATTAGAATGTCAGTGCCATTGATGTGGTCACACAATGATGACAATGCACTGGAATCTGAAGTGCAGCTTCGTGGAACTGGAATTATTGCACTCATTGATGCAGCCTTCCCTCACTGTCCTGCTTGCTGCCCTCGCCTGTTTGCTGGCTTCCCTTCTCGCTGTTCCCTTTGCCAGTTCCACTAGTAGGATCCCTTTTTGGCCAGACCTTTGCCACCTTTTCATAGAGGCCACAAATGAAATAGCACTAAGTGCCCTTTCTAAACATTAGTGTTTATCAGCCTGCTTTATGGCAATTTGAAGGATTAAGGGATGTCTCAGGCTAGGAAATCCTATATTGAGATTGCATGTAACTTTTACTTCTGCTGATGAACTGTGTCTCATAGATGTGTACTTCTGAGCTATCGGATCTGGTTTTTGTCTGTACCATTTAATGTTGTGTTAATGCCATAAGATGAAGGATGGCCTCACTCAAGGTGAGACTTTGTCTTCATAATTGCATTGCTGATCGTGACTTCCACTACTATCGTGGGCAGATGTGCCTGACGCGGCAGTTGTTTGCTGGGACGTTGAAATGCATACTTTTATTTAAATTCTTCAAAAACCAGTAGTGTTCCACAAGGTGTAGCTCTGGGTCCTTTCTCGTTTGTCATCCAAATCATTTATATAAAGGACAATATAGAAGGCATGGTTAGTAAGTTTGCGGATGACACCAAAATTGGTGGCATTGTAGATAGTAAAGGTTTCCTAAGATTACAAAGGGATCTTGATCCAGTGGGTCAATGAGCTGAAAAATGGCAGATGGTGTTCAATCTGGATAAATGCGAGGTACTTTATTTTGGTACAACAAAGAACTGTGGGCTCATACAATTAATGAAAGGGCCTTGGGCAGTGTTGTAGAACAGAGGCGCCTAGGGGTTCAGGTGCACAGTTCTTTGAAGTTTGCATCATATATAGACAGGGTGGTTAAAAAGGTGTTTGGCATGCTTGCCTTCATTGCTCAGCCCTTTGAGTATAGGGAAGTCATGTTGAGGTTGTACAGGACATTGGTGAGGCCTCTTCTGGAATACTGTGTCCAGATCTGGTGACCCAATTATGGGAAGGATATTATTAAGCTCGAGAAGGTTCAGAAGAGATTTAGCAGGATGTTGCTGGGTATGGAAGGTTTGAGTCCTAAAGAAAGGTTGGATAAGCTGGGACTTTTTTGACAGGAGCATAGGAGGTTGAGAGATGACCTTATAGATGTTTAAAATCATGAGGGGTACAGATAAGGTTAATTGTAGGTGTCTTTTCCCTAGGATGGGTGATGGTCAAGACCAGGGGGCACATTTTTAACGTGAGAAGAGAGGTTTTAAAAAAGACATGAGGGGCAAATTTTTTACACCAAAGGTTGTTCGTGTGTGATATGAACTTCCTGAGGTAGTGGTGGATGTGGGCACATTTACAACGTTTAAGTGACATTTGGATAGGTACATGAATAGGAAAGATTTGAAGGGATACAGGCCAGGAGCAGGCAGGTGGGACTAGTTTAGTTTGAGATTGTTTGGTGTGGACTGGTGGACCAAAGGGTCTGTTTCTGTGCTGTATGACTCTATGAACATAGCCAAGGAATCCATTATCTCTGCACTCATCTCTTTTATGATGTGGACCATCAGGTCCTGGTGATTCGTCAAATTTTAGTTACTTTACTTTCTCTGTTAGTTTTTCTTTGCAGATTTTATTAATTATCTTCATTTGCCCATATCTATTAGCCCCTAGGTTAAGGGGAGCTCGCCACATAAAGGGCCAGGCTAATGTGCTTGCATCTGTAACTGGTAGAATTTAAAATTCAATTAATCAGGAATTGAGAGCTAGACTACAGTAAAAGTGACTATCAAACTGTTGATGGTGGTTGTAAAAACTCATTTGATTCACTGATGTCCTTTTAGGGAAGGAAATCTGCTGGCCTTGGTTGTTCTGGCCTACATATGACTCCAGGTTTATAGTAATAAGGTTGACTCTCTTAACTGCCCTCTGAAATGGCTCAGCAAGTCATTCAGTTCAAGGACAGTTAGGGCTGGGCAGCAAATGCTGGCCTCTACCTCTACCTCTATTTCTAAAGGACCAGCATTAAATTAAGCTTATTTCTTTCTTTTCATACACTTGTAAAATCTTCCAGTCTGTTTTTATATTCCTGGCTAGTTTGTTTACCTTCCAGTGGAAGGTAAACAAACTTTTTGAAGACCCTTTGATTAAGATGCAGGCAGTCCTCAGACCACAAAATAGTCTTCGCAATGTTATAAACCTCTGTTAATCCAAAACTGTCCTTAACATTCAAAATAAGTTACAAGTGGATCTTCCTTTCTAATTATTATTTTTTTGTTGAAAATTTTGAAGCAATTCTTTTAAATTTTCAAATGTTACATCCTTATTGAAAAAATGCAAAGATAATTCTCAACTCTCTTTAATTTTATATCTTAATGTTTGTGGTTAGAGGCTTTAAGAATGTTAATTTGATGCAATATTAATAGCCAGTTGAGTAATTAAGTAAGCCAACACAGATTTGTCAAAATTAAATCTTCCTTGGCCAAATGCTCAAGTTTTTGATGGCGTAATGCAGAGACTTCATGAAGGTAATGAGCTTGTTGTGGTTTACATGAACTTTAACTGGTATTTGTCAAAGTGCCAATCAACAGATTTCTTTGCACAATAAGAGCTCACAGAATTAAAGGAACGGTGGTATAAAATATGCTGTGACATGGAAGTATTGTGTTGAAGAGTTGGTCTTCAAGCTGGAGGAAGGTTTATAGTGGAGTTTCCTGAAGATCAGTATTAGGCCACCTACTCTTACTGATATGTATTAATGATCTTGACCTGGACCTTGTTGGATAAGGCTCAATTTGCAGATGACATGAAATATGCAAGTATTGCAAACTTTGAGGAGGAGAGACAGTTTGGTGGAATGGGTGGACAAGTAGTAGCTTAAATACTTCATGGCCTTTCTCCAGTAGATTTCATCTTGGTAAAAAGACTGCAGAGAGACAGGATAAACTAATGGGTACGTTTTTAAAGGTGGTACATGAACAGAGAGATCTGAGTGTATATGTGTATGTAAATCATCAAAGGTGGCAGGACACGCTGAGTGAACAGTTACTAAAGCATGCAGAATTCTAGGCCACTTAAATAGGAGTAACAGTAC